TAATATCACCTTCTGTCCCTAAAATGTTAATGATTCCAATAACTGGATAGCCAAAGAACAAAAGCAAAACTGACCATTGTTTAGGCCATGTGATCAATGTCTTGAACATCAGGAGTGCTCTGGAAAGCTAAGTCCATCTTTTCTGACTTCTTGCAGATTATATTGTACTCTTTTGTTTGATTGATTTCATTATGCTTTGTTATCCAAATAGAGGAATGCACAAATTTATTTTTTTAAATATTGAGCTCCTCTGAGAATTTATATTATCTATTCTTTTTAGTAAATCTCAGAACCACATAGAATAACATTGAATGGGAGTACTGAATTACTAAGTGAGCTATAGAGCCAGAATCTAAATGCTGTTCTCTAAACCACAGTCATTAATTCAACATGTTCTGCTGCCAGTGCTGTTCTGTCCAGTTGTAAATGTTGCTGTATCTGGAACCCCTGTTTCTGTGCCATTTGTCCATTATCAGCTGACCTATGGGTGAGATGTTTTGTAGCAAAGGTTAAAGGAAAAAGTTGACCTTTCTGAAGTTGATCTGCAATATTCATATGGAGGGTCAAGTTACTAGATGGGTGTGTTGTTCATGTACACCTGGACAAATAAATAAAGAAACCACTTATCTACTTTCTTGGCTACAAGAAACCAAAAACAACATAAAAAAGTATTAAACATTCTTAAATAGCCAGACCCCTGGTTGGAAAGACTGCAGAAGAAGTGGTATAAAAGTGTCTTAGCAAAAAAATATGCTCATGATACATTACCCTACACGTGTGAGAAATAAGCAAAGTGTAACAAAACAACCAGATTCTCCAGTTGTCATATATAATGTCTTACTTTTTTTGTGGAGTTTTTTTTTTCCCCCTCTAATGACTATATGTCATAATAAGTTAGTATCAGTACACTTAAAGATCGGAGCCAATCCAAGGAAAATACACAGGGCTAGTGCCCTTTTCACCAAAAATCTTTCATTAACTAATGTTGATGGAAGCACATTTAGCCACAGCAATTTGCATGGAAGTTGAATTGCTGTTTGTATTAAACAGAAAACCAGAGAATAATAAAGGAAAAAATGAACATACCAGTGGTAAATTAAGGGAGCAAAGCAGTCCTCCAGCTTTTTCCATGCTGATGATTTGTTCTAAGGTTTGTAAGAACAAACAAGATTGCTCATTATAAGATGGGACACTAATCAGGCTCAGCTGGCATAGCATTATTTCATGTCAGCTGTCTAGAGGTCCCACCTATATTCACTTGGCTTGCACCTGTTTGCAGTAAGGTAGTGCTTCTCACTGATATCCAGTAACCATATTCCATCAGCAGAGGTAAATAACCCTGTTCATCATTCCAAATGCATGTACCTGAACAAGGTACCTAACAAGTGAACAGTCATGTAGGTGGAGAAGTCAGTTCTGGGATCTAAGTTAAGTGCTAAAGCTAGTAGTTAGGGAGACGTGGAAACCCTGGCTGTGGACATCAGAGAACTCCTAAAGCAAGTCTGAAGAAGACAAACAAGTATTTTTTTTTAAAAGTGACAGTATGAAGAAGGTGTAGTGAATTACTAAGTGGTACAAGTGAGAGGATGATATCTTAGGTAGAGTACAAGATGGGAGATGTGGCTTTAGTAATCTCAAGCAAGCCATTGACCTTCTTTGAGCCTTGAATCTTCGTCTATTTATTATAGAATGAAATGTTTCCATGTGGAACAGAAAGTTCTTCCCAACTCTTAAGTTCTCCAGGTTTGTGAAGATAAGAAGGTTTAATACAACTGCATTCCCAGAGAATCTTTAAAAATATCAAAACTAATTTAATCAAAAAAAGATGAATTGGTTAGAAGTCTAGGAGTTTTGTCATCTTCAGTAGATATAGTCCTCAACCAACTCTTTCTCTGTTTGTTAGTTCTGCTTTCTTCTTTGCCAGCTTTACTTTTGAGCAAGTTCCTTTGCATACTGGAAAATACAGCCTTGAAAGCACCAGGGTAATAGATGGTTTACTCTCTAGCCTAGTTCATGACCTACTTATCTAGCGGGACATGTTGGTTAAGTCCCTTAAGTGAAAGTTTCACAGAAATCATATGGAGAAGAACAGGAAATCCTCAAAAGGAAAGATAGACTGAACTTCCTCACATTTATGTTTTTTCAGGTGAATGAGTTGTGTTTGGTTGTGTAAGAGAGCCAATATCCATTATTCAATAACTTTTATGTAAGATATTTTGTGTTTGTCATAGCAGTTTGACTCGGGAGGAACAAGTTGTTTTCTTGTGTGGATGATGGTCCCCACAATGCGTCCCTCCAGTTCCACTGCACCATTAAACAGTTCAGTTCTTTGTAAAGACTCCAGTTCTGAGAACATCCCTAATATCCTGAAGTAGTAAAACAAAATGGTCACATCCTCCGAGAAACAGAGTAGCAGTCTTATATACCATGAGTATTGAAGAGAATTGGGCTAATGACAGAGTTTACTGAAACTTTTTGAAGTTTGATCTATATTTTTTTTAATCTATATTTTGGCTTATCTGGTATTCATCCTTCTTTCTTTTATTATTAATACCCTTTTGTATGTAGAGTATATTCTTTCTGGTCATAGTTCAATCCTTTTGGGATTATCGATGAGAGTACTCCATACTTTGCTTGGCTAAGCAGTAGGGAAGAGATCTAAGCAAGGATCTTTAGTCAGTCTCAGAATTTCCTTTTAAGTAGAGTGATATGAAGATTAGAAGTACTCCAAATAAAATAGCCATTTGTTAATGCAACCTACAGTCCTTCCTACCCAGACCTGCTGTAGTTCTTATTCTCTTTAGCATCTGGATCTTCTTTCTCCATGTATTTGTTAATTATTCTTAAATACATTCCAAATACTTCATATTCAGTTCGCAACTGGTTGCTATCAGTTGGCAACTTCTTGGTACCAGACCATCCCCAAATTTCATGTGTTAAGTTCCTTACCTCTAAGTTGGTGTTGGCACTGTGCTTAGTTGGGAAGCTCCTCTGATATTAGTTGGTCTTCCTTCTGAGTCATCTGTAGACAGCATCGAGTCTGGGCAGTTCTTATCTGGGCATTTGCTCGCTACCAGCAGGGCCACCTTTATGGTAGCAGGGGTGGGAAGATCCCTGGGCTATGCTTCTCTTTTTACCTAGTAAGTTGTCGTGGGCTTGTTTTTTGTTTTTTGGTACTGGGGACCGAACTTGGGACCTTGCACTTGCTAGACAGGCGGCGGAACCACTGAACTAAATCCCCAGCCCAAAGAATCAACAACTGGGACCTCATCTTTTTTTTTTTTTTTTTTCTGGTACCGGAGATCAAATTCGGGTCCTTGAGCTTGCGCAGCAGGTGGCAAAACCACTGAGCTAAATCCCTGGCCCTTGTCGTGGGCTTGTTTGTAAGGTATGATAGGGTCCCAAGTAGAAAGTAAAAATGTTCAGGACCTGTTGAAGTTTTGTACACATTGGCACATTTTCTTGATGCTATATTCTGTTCATGGAATCAAGAGACCAGCCCAGATGTAGGACATAAAGAAGCAAGTGTGCATGACATCTTGATGGATGTAACTGCAACATCACAATGCAAGTGAATAAGCTTGTAGGGAAAGGAATAATTGAGGACACTTATGTAGTCTACTACACCGCAAGATTGTTCATATACTTTGTAACTTGAGAATCTGATATGCCAACGAGATGCCCCTTAAAAATACACTCTAAAATATCAGCATGTTCCTCTATCATTATTGACTTAGCTAATTATGCATGGTTTGGAGAGGCAAAGTTAGTTCCTCTAAGGGACACAGAAGAAAAGCTACCTGTTATCTTTAGTGGTAGAACATTGTGTCTTGTGGGGATTGCTTGCCCCTTCATTATAGCCTTCTTAGCTGTACAATCTCAAAGTGCTGTTACCGTCAGTTATATAATCTTCTGGGTTTCCTGGCATTTCAGCATTTTGCTTGCCCAGTTATGACATACACCAGCATGGCTTTTCCACCCATTATATTCCTACTTCCTGCTATATCTAGTGTAGTACTTGCTAAAAACATTTGCATACATCTTTTTGGGATACATATTGAGTTTCTATAAGTTATATTTTCCTTTTATGTAGCACAACCTCTTGGTAACCTACATGAATCATAGAGTAAGGTAAATGCTAATACTAATGTGCACTGCTGTAGGTGTTTCTATCCAGTTTTCATCCAAGTTCTGACTCAGCCCAGCATTCTTTAGGTTTGTGAGATCTAATAAGATCACAGCACAGGGTGGTATAGCTGCAGGCAGAAAATTCTGCTTACCAAATCATTTTTTCTTTGTAACCAGTTTATAAATTAATGTAGGGCACTGAGACACCATAACTGTATGTATGCATTAAGATAGGTCCTTCTTCAATTGACTACTTTTCCTTCCAGCCACGAATTTCTCTGAAATGATGCCAAAGTCTTGGTTAGATATAGCTTCAATGCTCATACCCTCTCGGTGTGAAATGATAATTAATACGACTTTACAGTTGAGGTGATGCTCCACTTCCATTAATAACACTCATTATTCCAGGGTGTTTAAATTTGGTTATAAAAATTGACTCTGGGGGTGGAACTTGGTGTGGTGGCTTATTTTAAAGGCAAATGGTTTGTTTCTAATTTTTCTTTCAAAAGAAAATCTTCCTTTTTTATAAGGAAATTTTTTGTTACTTTTGAGTTATACAAGTATTGGACCAAATTCCAAAATTATTGGTATGATTTTGGATTTTTAATTGGTTTGTTATCTTCCTATGGTGTCTATCTTAAAGCTGACACCTCCCAGAGCTTCTCAACCAGCTTACAGCTTACATCTGGCATGGTCTACATCTCACCAGTTGGAATCCTAGGGCATTTTTTAAAAAATTGCTTCTTACACTTCTACATCAAATTTTATTCTTTCCAGGCAACAGTTTATACAAACTACTGACTGAATTGCATTTGCTGATAAAAGGTACCCCATATTTAAATTTTCTTAGATGTTTTATTTTATTATTGTAGATCTGCTAGAAGAGACACAAAGAAAAGATGAAGAAATGGAATCTCTGCAGGTAAAGTAAATTCTCCAAAAGAGCAAATATTTGTGGTGTTAAAACATTTTTCCTCTCTGTTATCCTTCATTATTGTCACATCAAGACTACTACAGCAATTGGGGTGAACAATATTATGTCAAAACTTTAGAACTGAAGTTGGAATTTGCTTCCTTTAGATGTCTTTGATATCATTTATAATCTAAAGCAGGAAACTCAGATTCTATATTACTCTCGAAAGGAGCCTTTATTCCTTGATGTAGTATAATGGTAACTTCAGCATTAGGAAATAAAGATAGCAAAGTCATCTCCCTAAACGTGGCTGATGAATGAGGATGAATTCATGCAATCTCCATTTACAAGTGAAAGTCAAATGTGTACTATTCAATGGCTGTCATCTACTAGTGACCAGCCAGGAATGTTAACACTTATATGGAGTTTAACGTTTACCAGGGATAGCCTCTCAATTTACCCTGGAAGTATGCACATTTTTTGGAAAATAGTATTTGAAAGATTCTGCTGGATATTTAATTGACATTTTCATGGTATGAGCAAAATGATGTTAAGTTGGTGTCTGACAGAAGTTCTCTCTTCTTTTTACATTGGGCTAACTTACGAATGGGTAACTCAAATGCCTATCTTTTGTGTGTGTGTGTGTGTGTGTGTGTGTGTGTGTGTGTGTGTGTTTGGCTTCTTTTATTGGTACATTTTAGGTACACAACACAATTGCATTTCTCATTGGGAATTGTACCTTTACATAATGCATTTTGGTTCTTATTTTTTTCCCCATTCCTAGCCCTCCCTTCACCCCCTCCACCCTTCCCTATTTACAAAGATCAAGTGACTATCTTTATGAAGGGAAACACAGTCAGTTATTCAACTCACATGACAGAACCAATTAATGTCATGCTGGAGATTAAGAACAGTAAATACTTTGGACATTTAGAGTTCTCTGTGGGCCTGGAACTGTAAGGCTGGATTAGAGATTGATACAGGGAGCTGTCTTGAGCACTTTGGGAATAAAAATGTTTGCTTCTGGTGAGTGAGTCAAAGCCAAAAGAACAAGGGAAATATTTTGTGATTGGAAATGTTATATTTAATGGTATATCCATGAAGAAAAAATTATATAATTGATCTGGAAATGCTGAGGTAGAACAGTTCTATCTATGCTGGAAAAGTGGTGCATGTTGACTACAGTTTTGTACAGATTAAATTCTTTTTAACATCTTGTGCTATATCATATATAGGAAGAAAGCACACTAGTTGACCCATTGTGAAGCTAGGAAATATCTCAAGTGTGTAGTCCCTCTCCCAATCTCTGTGAAATTAATATTAGCAGTGCTAGTTGTGAAAAGCAAAATTCTGTGTATACTCAGTATACTGAGAAGGTAACACAGTCTTTTTGAGACATTTTGGTTATGTGTTGTGATTGCCATTAGCTCCAGAAGACTATATATAAACATATTCTTTGAGTATGTACCTAGGCTTTGGAAATGGCAACACGGTTCAGAGCTTAATACTCTCACAATACAAATGTTGTAATCAGTAATTCCATTAAATTTAATAGCCTACTTTGCTTCTCAAATGTTTATGAAATATTGGCAGGATTTTCTACCAATTTGTCCACTCAGTGCAATAGAATGCAATAGCTAACTATCTATGGTTGTTTATAGATGTAGAATATACCGTGTGATGTCATACAGCAAAAGAGTTAACTGTTGGCACTTTATAGTGTTGATCAACATCTGATACTAACATTATAGTAATAATTCAGCAAGCTGACACTTTTCAGAGAAGCAGGAGTTCAGAGGTACTTCACACGAAACCCTTTACTATTAAAGACTGGAGGAAAATCCATGGAAAAGTGTGTGAAACATTTAGAATATAGATTCTACATTCAAATACAAATAGTATAGGTGATAGTTTGGAGAAGGCTATTAAATTATGTACTTTGAATTCTTAAAATAATGCAACACTACTTTGGGGGAGAAAGAACAAAATAGCTTCCAGAAAATGCTAACAGTAAAGATTGGAGGTTAACAGCCTTGAGTTTTAAGTCCTGGCTCCGCTTCTGATTCACTGGGTAACCTTGGGTTACTCAATTAACTTTGCTGTGCCTGTTTTTTCACCTGTAATATAAAATCATAAAACTGTCTTCCAAAATTGTTTAGTGTGTATTAGATTATCCCAGAAGGGAGAGCTAAATATTTAATTCCAGTTTGCAACGTTAGCAAATCCTCATGTATTCAAATTGGAGTCAATTTTATTTGCTCATTATCATCTTATAATTATGTAGAACAGACATTCTGCATTTAATTTTACTCTCCTTAAGGAGGGTGGGGGTATATTATTTATCCTGAAACCCCTCCCAATTTCCTGTAATAAAAAGCCCAGGCATTTTATTTATTCCTAAGCTCTTCCCAGTTTCCTGTAATGAAAGTCCTGTTAATTCATTGAGCAAATATTGATTGAGGAGTAACATTGTGCATGGCAGTGTAGTAGTTGCTAAGGATCCAGAGGCAAGCTGCATAACCTGGAATGCTTCTTGCCCTCTATACCCAAATTAGTGGTAAAGACTATTTATAATAAAATATTGAAAATTGTACTAGAGGGACTATGCAAATTACTGAGGGGACATAAAAGAACACTTGTCCTATTTGTTGCCAGTCAGAGTAGGTTTTGTGGAAGTGAAGTGGAGTTGAGTTGCACGTGGATTGGTTGAGCTGGGTCAGGGTGGCAATCCACATAGACTTCCCAAAGGAATACAGTGTTTAAATGGTAACTAGGAGTTATTTACGGAAGTTTGGAGTGAGGCTGAGAAGTTTTAGGCACTGGAAAGGATATGGAAAAGCTTATGATAAAAAAGAAAACAATTGCATATTTAAAGAACTAGAAGTGCATTATGGGAGAATGTAAGATCTGAGAGGCAAACCAGGATTTTGTAAAGTCTGCAGAGGTCTAAACCATCTCATAAAGGATTCTGGACTTCAGGATATGCAAAATGAGGGAACAGTTTGACACAGAGAACAGTATGATCAAATCTGCATTTGAAATAGGTGACCGGCTGTAAAGTTGAAAATACAGTGGTACCTTGGTTCAAGAAGTTAAATTGTTCTGCAATCCTGGAAAGGATGGCCACATTTGTGATTGTGTGGGAAAGACAGCAGCAGTCTTTCTGTAGTTTGCAAACAAAAACAAAATTTTGCCAAATATTAAGGGTTCATGAACTGAGGTACCAGTGTTAGTGAGGGCATTATGTTAGAAACCAGATAGAGCATTTAAGCACATATTTGTAAGGATCTCACCAAGAGATGTTAGTGTCCTGGATTGAGTGGTGGCAGAGGGCCTGAAAAGGAGTGTTAGTTTCTTAATATATTTTAGATTATAAAAAGCAGTGGAAAGGAAAAAAAACTCGTGGGCTGGGGATGTAACTCGGTGGCGCTGTGCCTGCCTGGCAAGCACAAGGTCCTGAGTTTGATCCCCGTTACCGGGGAAAAGAAAAGCAGTGGAACATTGAAATTGGAAATAAAAAGGATAGAGTTAATAATGACTCTTGGGATTCTTGTTTGAACAACTTCATGGGTGGTTATGCTAATTAATGAGGGGAGGTGGTTGAATAGTTCAAGTTTTGATATTTTGAAGTACCCAGGTGGCAGTGTTATGGGTTGGGTTGGGCAAGTTTCATTTGTCTGGAGCTCCCAGGAGTGTGAAGAGGATGAACACAATTTGATGTCATCAGATATGGTGTCCATATCACATAGCTGATGGTAACAGTCACAAGAGCAATGAACTCTCAGGGGAAGTATGTAGAATGAGCCAAAATGAGAGCCTGGGCCAGAACCCCAGGGAGCGCCAATATTTATATAATAGACTAAGGCCCAAACCCTGCAAAGCAGGCTAGGACATAAACAAACAAACAGACAAACAAACAATAAACTATAACTACAAGAGCATGTAGTATCATGAAGCTTGGTAAAAGAATATTTCAAGGGAAAAATACTCAACAGAACTGATGGAATATTTGTTACATCTTTGGATTCTTTTAGTTATGAACTTTGGTAGCAAAATAAAAATTTACCATTCAGTGAACTGTAATTTCCCATAATACCTATGAAACAACTCTCAAGTCCTCCATTTTCCTAAATATCACTACTTAGCTCCATACTTATACTGCAGTAGGTATTCAGTGAATTTCAGTGGGCTGAACAAATGGATGCCACCTAACTAGTCTTTGTTTAACACCTATTCCTGGATCTTCTCCAGGCTTGTCTATTGAAAAATAATACTTATTCTTGACCTAGACTTTCCTTTTTAAATAAAGTTTTTGGAGGAGACATCCATGTATGTAATATCATTCATTCTCATTCTCTCCCTCTCTCTCTCTCCCTCTCCCTTTTCTCCCTCTCCCTTCTCCTGCTCCTTCTTCTTTTTTTACCCCCTTCCTTTTTTCTCTCCCCCTTTGAAAACAGTTCTGACATGATGATCAATAAATGAGTAATTTGGTGTGCATGGTAAGGAGAAGTGGAAAGGATGAAATGCCAGGGAAGAGGGAATAGGCAGCAAGGTAGAGAATGTTTTTCAGTCTTCCAAGGAATCACAAACTGTGGAGACAAATATACTTGACAGTGATTATTATAATGCAGCTTGTAATTGCAAGAATTCTTCATTGGAACTTAACATTGTCTGTTTCATTTGTGTGTGTGTGTGACATTCATTTGCAGTTACATTGTGTACTGCTCTTCTTAAAAAACAAGTATTGTCTTTGACTATAAATGCATATTGTGGTATCACAGTTCTATTTGCATAAGGGTTTGAGGTACATTGGAACAAACAAATTCCTTCTTTAATCCTCTCAAGATCAGCAGAACATTGTGTGTCATTTTAATAGACACAAAAGGTAATCCATTTTTCCTCAATTTATTGAAATGTATTCAGTGACTTGACACCTTACTTTTGTGTGTGCTGGTAGTAGGTAAGTGCTGCTGCCACTTTTTATTTTTATTTTTAAAAGTTCTGTACCA